GTCTCTGTGGCAGATGTAGTACTCAATCTCATATCGTGTACAGTACACAGCTTCTGCACCCCAGGCACAGTCATGCTGTTCCTCATTTCCGACAAAGGCCAGTAGATGGCCGTAGTTTCAAGCACTCCTGTTTTCTTTTACGTCCTCAAATCACATGTAAATTCAGGAGTCCGCCAAGCAACCCTTCACATTCGTTTCTGAACAGCCAAAATGAGTGGTCGCGGGAAGGGAGGGAAAGGACTCGGCAAAGGAGGCGCAAAGCGTCACCGTAAGGTTCTTCGTGATAACATCCAGGGCATCACTAAGCCAGCTATCCGCCGCCTGGCTCGCCGTGGTGGTGTCAAGCGTATTTCTGGTCTCATCTACGAGGAGACCCGTGGCGTCTTGAAGGTCTTTCTGGAGAACGTCATCCGCGACGCCGTCACCTACACCGAGCACGCCAAGAGAAAGACCGTCACCGCCATGGATGTGGTGTACGCTCTCAAGAGACAGGGCCGCACTCTGTACGGCTTTGGTGGTTAAGCTCACAGCACTCAACAACAACAACAACAACGACAACAAAGGTCCTTTTCAGGGCCACCCATCTCTTCCGTAGAGCTCATCCTATCTCTTATTTGTGTCTAGTCAAGTTGTATTGAACTTCTCTTCATAAAAATGGTCAATCTGACTTGGAACCCGTATTGAAAAAGCTTCTCGTGTGTGTGTGTGTGCACATGCGTGTGTGTGGCTTACTGCCACAGCTTTATTCTCTGCATAACACCTCCCTTGTCTGGCTTCCACGTCACCTGCAGCCAAATCAACAACTATTCATGCATATATGACATGTAGCACACTCAAATTCTGAATGTGTTTCCAACTTACTTTTGGCAAGGACTTCACTGCACAAAGCTCAATGTACCACGTGGCTAACAAATATTTAGTGTTAAAGGAAGGAGTTAGTAAGTGTAATTATATACAGGCTTCTTCAAAAGATTACTGCCATAAAGATGACTGCTGCCTGAGGCTCCACTGACTCAATCAGCAGTGAGAGAGCAGCCGCTCTGTCTTTTACTTTTTCTACTTTCAGGTAGCCTCTCTGTCACTGTGAAGTGGACTGTTGCCATAGGTCACAATAAGCCTGCACTAATTTAATGAATGCTACCTTTTCAGACATTTAGTCTCTTATTTAAATATTTACATTTGAACTTACTGAAAACTGTTTCTAGCCTTGACTGTGTACAACAATTCTGATGATAAGAACTCCGAGAAAGATTAAAAACCCGGTGCAAAACAGATGGAAACCTGTGATTATCAACATTAAAAACACTTTTTTTCATTTTTGTTGTACATTGCACTGAATTAAGCCCGTCAAGCAGCTGAAACAGTTCTAGGGAATGTGCAAATTATCCAAACCTCTTTGTGATTCAACAGTTTTTATTCATTATCAGCACAAAGTGAAAACAAAAAACAAAACAGAATCCCATACATTTCAAATCATTACATACATTTACAAATACTTCAGCAGTTGTTGCTGTAAATTAACATCGTTTCATGCCATACCACAAGGTGGCCCTATCTGTTAACATGGGTGGAGTTTACTGACCGTTATTAGTAGTTATGTAATCATGCCCCCGTATGCCCCATTATTGTTTGCTTCTAACTTCAGCAATTTATGGGTGAGACTTAAGTACATCGGAAACGGGGATCCCCCGACCCGTGATTATGTTGCTGAAGAACTGTTATTACAAACATCATGGGTGAATGTGCAAGATATATACTCTTTCATCGCTCTTCCCAGTAAACGGGATTTTGAGCTGTGTTTCACCCAAGAGGCACCTTTACGTTGCTTCTTGGAGATTTCCTTTTCCAACGCATCGCACCCGAAATGGAAAGACTGGCAAGTGGAGTCTTCTGTCCAGGTAGAGGTAGTGACTCTTGTTGTTAAATT